GTGGCCCCCAGACAACCACACCCTCCCTTTCCCCTTCCTGGTGGACAGTTTCCTCTTATATGACACCATTTCCCTCTAAGAGCATTTCAATTTTCTGTATTTTGATTCTCCTCTCAGCATCCCCTTTTGGTGTGAATCTGGGATGTTGGAAAGACCACAGGATTTGGAGTCTTAAACTCTAAATTAGAGGCCCCGACCCATCACTGACCAAACTGAAGACATCCGATGAGCCACCCAACCTCTCTTGGCTCCATGGCTGATTCTTCACCAATTTTGCTTAAATTAATATCTGCACCCCCAGATTTCCCATGTTTGTTACAAGAATCAAAACATCTTTATGAGAAAATAAGGGGTACATCGTATAACTGTATGCTATCTTCCAGGCTTTTAAAAATGATTTCATTTTATTTTAAAATATGGAATTATTATGAATATTCAGATTTCTCTCTCTCTCTCTCTTTTTTTTTTTTTTGAGACAGACTCTCAAGCTGTCACCCTGGGTAGAGTGTCGTGGCATCATAGCTCACAGCAACCTCCAACTCTTGGGCTCAAGTGATCCTCTTGCCTCAGTTTTTCTATTTTTAATAGAAACGGGGGTCTGTTTTTGCTCAGGCTGGTCTTGAACCCGTGAGCTCAAGCATACACCTGCCTCGGCCTCCCAGAGTGCTAGGATTACAGGTATGAGCCACAGCGCCTGGCCACAGATTTTTATCTTTGTATTTTACAGTAATTGTTACAAATAAAAGATTTTGTATAAAATATATGTAAGTTATAAAACACTGTACTATTATGTTGAACACTCATGTACTCAATTCAAGAAGCATAAGTTACCAGTAACTTGCATTGACCTTGATTCCTCCCCAGATGACAATGCTGTCTTGAATTTTCTGTTTATCATTCCATTGCTTATATAAAATATTTTTTATCACATTTTAATGTAAAGAGTAGATTGTTTTGTTTTGCTACTTTGGTGCTTTATGGAAATACCCTACTGTATGTAATATCGTGATTGTTTTTTATTCTTCCTCGACATGATGTTTCTAAGTTCCACTTACTGTTGTTTGGCTGGGGTTCATCTGTTTATACTGCTGTATAACGCCCCCTTATGAGAATAACACATTTGGGGTGTTTCCAGTTTTTTGTTCTTGCAAAGAGTACTATTTTGAATATTACCCTACAGGTCTCTAGTTACCCTGTTGGAGAGCCCTGGTTAATACACCTAGAAGTGAAATTGCTCAGTCACAAGGTCTTCAAAAACTGTAATTTTACAAAAGAGTGCCAAGTAACTTTTCCAAAGCGGTAGTACCAACAACATATTCATCAGCAGCCTATGTGTTCCCACTGATGGATGTCCTTCTAACAATTGATATTGTGAGACTTTGTAAATTGCCAGTTTTGTGGGTAAACATGATATTTCCGTGTAGCCTCAATTTGCATTTCTCTATTCTCAAATATTTCTTTCCATATTTTTATTGTATTCAAGTTTCCCATGAATGGCTTTGTTTGTTTTTCTATTACTTTTTCTAATTGATGGAGTTCTTTTATAAGTTGATAACCGATTTACTGTCTATTGTATTTATTATAATATCTTTTCCCAGTTTGTGGTTTATCTTCTCTATCTGTGGTATTAATGAATGCATTTTTTTTTGAAGACAGAGTCTCACTTGTGCTCTGAGTAGAATGTTCATAGCTTACAACAACCTCAAACTCTTGGGCTCAAGCAATCCCTTTACCTCAAACTCTTGAGCAACTGGGACTACAGGTGCCACCACCATGACTGGCTGATTTTTCTATTTTTAGTAGAGATGGGGTCTCACACTTGCTCAGGCTGGTCTTGAACTCCTGAGTTCAAGTGAACCTCCTGTCTTGGCCTCCGAGAGTGCTAGGATTACAGGTGTGAGCCACCATGCCCGGCCTGTGGTATTAATCTTAATGTTACCAGATATATTAATCTTATATTTTAGTATAAACTCGTATTGGGATCTATTTTAAGCTATTTCTTTTATATAGAGGAAATAAAATCTTTTATTTTAACTTTTGAAAATAATCCAACCCTACATAAAAGTTGCAGATATTAAGTATAATATAAAGTAAGTTTTTCCTGAAGGTTAAGTTACTAACTCGATACCTACTGCTCCTCAATACTTTTAATGTGCATTTTCTAAATAGATATTTTCCTATGATACTACCAGTCATCGAAATCAACACAGTATCAATACATTACTAACATCCAATCTTCAGACCCTATTCCAAGTTTGATCAAATATCCCAATAAGGCCTTTTATAGAAAGAAAATCTAGTTCAGAATTATGTGTTGCATTAGTAGTTATGTCTCTTTAGACTCCTTTCTTCTTGAATTTAATGACCTTGGCATTTTCAATGATGACATACCCATTATTCTTTTTCTAATTCATTTTTTATTAAACCATAACTGTGTACATTGATGCATTTATGGGTTTCAGTGTACTGATTAGATATACAATGTGAAATGCTTTCATTGAACTA